AATGAGTGCTGTGTGAAAGGACCCATTGTTGTTATTATTTCTAACCTGATAGTTCTTGGCCATGAGAGAAAACATTGAAATCACATCTAAAGTATTTGGGGATGCTGTCCAGGTTTACTGTTTTTGCCAGACAGCATTGTCCAATTTTGCCAGAACTGCCAAATTTCCTCGTCCGTTAATCCCTTCACTGCGGGATTATTTTGACAGCGACTGCTGGGCTGTGGTATGCCCTGAATGGAGGGCTTTGTCCGGCAGCAGGCCCCATTGAACCAGCAGCTTCATGGTGAATAGACTGTATGTGTGGTATGCACTAATCCTCACACAACGGTGCGGTAGTAGCAATCCTCCGTAGCGAAGATTCACCTCATTCTGTTTTTATTCCATATTTCATGTGTTAGCTATTCAAGAGTATCAGTCAGCAGCTAATCTTGACTTCAGTCTGCAGTGAATATCATCAAGGTAAAGCATGTATGTCTCTAAGTAAGCATGCCATGCGAGGGTTGGTTTGGGAATGATAATGCAGGCCCAGTGCATCGCTGACCGGTAGCAAAGTTGGAAAGTTTTGGCCATGTTTAAAATAGGCTTCCAGAGCTACGGCTTTGTCTGTTGTCAGCGCGTCTCTGCATATGTCCAATGGAGTGAAGACCTAGACCTAGCTCTAGATAACAGATTTGAATGCAGCCTCAGTGTAGCACAAAGTTGGGATGTCACTAGGGAGAATCCAAACCTGATGTAAAAGTTACCAGCAGACCGACTAACTGACCAACTTTGAAGAACACATTGAAGAGCGTGAATGAAATGCCTAGTGATTCATGAATACGCTCCCACAGCAGCTCATGAGAAACAGGAAAGTTTATATGTTTTGAAAGTACCAGGGGCAAGTTTTATCAGTGACAAATCATCACCCATTGGTTGATTTTTAACTGGTGACCTCTGCGTGAAATATATACTGGGCACCAGGCAAAATCGACCAGTGGTTAACAAATTGTTTTGCTGATGGAACTTGTCCCCAACAAATTGATTTGCTGATGGAACTTTTCCCAGTTTTCGGAATAAATTGCTATTCATCGCTGTTTCACTGACTTTCAGTGTGTCCCAAGAGTTTATAATTGTGTTTGAATTGCTCAAATGGGAACGAGTTTTTCTTTGATCCTCCTGCGTTTCCAACAGCTCATTTTTACGACGGAGTCGTTGAGCTGAGTCTGTCGGCTGCTGCCAGGAGAGACCCACAGAACTTGGCGTTGCATTACTACAAGCACGGCAAACCTGCGGAAGACTTACAAGGCACGCAGGCATTCACTGCCAGGTAGGCTCCCTCCAAAGATAGACCAGTAGGACCATCCGAATCTTTCCTTTGCGTAAGGCATTAACTCTATCTTTTCAAGTCTCTTCCAGCAAGAAGCGTACCTCATTCCCCCAAGCTTCTATGCTGGAAACCAAAGGCACAGTCGTTGTTCATAAACTTTCACATATCGTGCCATTTGGTTGTACAAGTTCTTTATCTACTCTAGCAAAGTTCACAGCATCATTTAGCATTGCCCTTTCATCATTCCAATTTCAGATATGAATGTTACAAGTGCGTGATAGACATCTTGGACGAGCTCCTGGTTCTGAGCCAAGCGCACCCCACGTCCCCCGTCGTCCCGACCCACCCAGGCCCACCCCCTCAGCCAGATCCCAACCAACTGTCGAGCCAAGACGCCAAGGCTTACGTGAGTGTCACCCAAGACATCGGCTCACTTGCTTAATCATCACTACAAGACTGTTTTGTATGTACCGCGCAGTCCATAGAATTGAGGGAGGGGCTCTGGGAGAGTTCCTGGTTGAACTCATGCTAGGGAGTAGGGTTTCACCATGATAGGCAAAACAACTACTGATGATGTACCGTTGCAGTACAGATGTTGTATTTCGGTAACTGAAGTATTGCCGCTATGTCAGCATTCATGCTTCTAGAGATTGCTCTGAATCAAACCATGCCCTGAATCCCGGTAAACTCAATGGTCAAGGGGTTAAGACATCTCTGCAAGTAAGCAGGAAGACGTGGGTGCAAATATCAACTGAGCGAACTGTGGTTTTTCCTCATCTCTTGGACCACACTGAGAATACAGTACGAATGTGCGCATCCGCGTAAAGGCAGAACCTAGTAGGAAAATTAATTCATATCCCTGATCCCCAAGACAATACTATCGATGAACCAGAGGTTACTCTGCAAAGCATTGTGGCAAAATTACACCTGTAATTACTGGGACATGGAAAACTTTTGAAAAAGGAAAAAAAACCTCTCAGAAGGGGAGCTTGAAGCCAAGTGAGATGGGTGGGGATCCTCTAAATTCCCAAACATCTCTTAACCAATCACACAAGTTACACAGAGAGACCCCTCCCCCCATCCACAACCCCACACATCAAGTGCCTTCAACCCCCTCCCAAGATAACATGGATAATTTGGGTGAATTTTACTGAAACGTTTCTTGTTTCCTGTGCTGTGTATAAATAAATAATTGTTATACTTATATTTTTTAAAAAATATAAAACATTTATAATTGGAATCTTTTGTAAAAAATTGACTCAATTTAGCCTGTGGCTTCAGGTCCAATTTCAAAGAAGTCAATTCTTGGCGCTGTTCCTCTCATATCTTACTGATGATTCCTCAATTGCTCGTAGATGGAGGAGATAATGCAGAAGGCTTTGGCCTCAGATGACGAGCTGTTCCATGTAGCTCTCTATGATTGGCTGATAGAGAAGGGACTGAAGGATCGCTTGCTTCAGGTAACGCTGGATCCCAGGTAGTCTCTCTAGTTAAATAATGAACACTGTTTTTATTGCAGAGAGTGATTTGATTTGATTTGTAAAATGCTGCCTCGTCCTTTTCTCATAGATCTCATCTCCCTACGTGGAGGAGTACATGAAGCGAGCCACGCAGTACTCGGCCGACAGCCTGCAGCTGATGGATCTCCTGTGGAAGTACCACGAGAAGACGGGTAACTACCCCGCAGCTGCCAGGATCCTGCTCAAACTGGCCGAGAGGCATAGGTGACTATGAAAAGCGTATCGTTCTCAGCACAGTCGGGTGTCATGGGGAAACAGGGGATTGGGGGGATTTTTGCTAAACTTTGATCAGCCTGTTCTGCGTTTTGCAATGCATGAGAAACATTCCAACTGCGGTCCTTCGTCAGAGCAACTCGCGGTCTGGCAGAGCAAAATGCATTGATACGGTGTCCAAGAGGGTTCTGCAGCCCAAAAGTGTGAGCGTATGTCACAGATTGAGCCTTAGTCACCCTTTGAACAGAATCAGTGCTTCATTAAATCTACTGTTCAGAGATGATCGCAGGTTTTGCTGATCAGTTGGCAAGCTGTGGCTGGCCATCGTGGGATGTTGGAACGCACACGTCAAGCTGTGATTGGTCAGAGGGGGAGGGGCTTAATGAGTCGATCTGTCTGTTGACTCTAAGGTTGAGCTCGCTGGCACTTTGGCGGTGTCATCCTCTCCCAACTTTGGGAGTTGACAATTTTGAACCTGTTCCAGATTAAATTCTCTGAGCTACTGGCAAATATTAACATGACCCCTCCCGGTAAAAGTCACTGAACTCTTACTAAGAAAGTCTCAGGAAGCTTTTGTGAAGTTCCTGATTTCTCAACTCGTTGCCTCACTCCGTCTTCGTCACCATTACAGCACCGATGTGAAGTTACAGCAGCGCATCGAGTACCTGTCTCGCGCAGTCATGTGCGCTAAGAGCAGCAATCTGAGAACGAGCACCAGCAGCGAAGGGGAGTTCCTGCAAGAACTGGAAGATAAATTAGAGGTTGGTTAGGAACGAACTTATCGCTTGCAAGATGACAGTTACCGCCGAGTGGAATGAAAGATAAAAAGCTAATAAATGTTCTCATTTGTGAAGTACGTAATTCAATACTGTAATGTTCAAATGCCTCAGACGGTATCGACATTGGCCCATACCCCCGAGGCTTTTCTACTAGCAACAGCACTGAACGTAATAAAGTTCAGGAAATTTTACCAAGTATTTGTAGTACCAAATCTGCATATAAATCAAAACTATACAGTCTTTGCAGTTTCTAAAAGCACAACATTATCCCTTTTTTGTCTTTTCCTTGTTTTGTTTTTTTTTTTGCCAATGTGATCCCAAATTTTTTCACCAGGTGGCCCGACTGCAGTTGCAGGTGTATGAGGCAATTGCTCGTCACAGCACAGCTCATCCCAGATTCCAAGAGGCCTTGTCCAAGCTCAACGTAGAGCTGGTGGACATTACAAAGGTTAGGCTGGAATATTTTTGTAACTGACTGCTCGTGCGTTTGTGATCAAGTAGAACTTTAATCTCCCAGAACCAAAGCTACGTTGTTCATAACTTGGTAATAGCATGGTGGAATAAGTTTAAACGCACAGTTTTAAACCTACTGATCCAGCATTTATTTCCCCTCCTTGAGCACCTCTTCTGTCGATAAACTGAAGCAAGTCAACAATTGACTGATTTTTATAATCCATGTCTAAAATTTGCATTTTTTTTTAACACCCTTCTAAGCACTACATCTGCGAAGCTTGCCTCTCGTGAGCAACGCTAACATCTTGAAAAGAGACTACCATAGGCGCCATTCGCTGCAGAATGCTGTGGACTTTCAGCGAACAGGGACTGAACGATTTTCAAAGTGAGGGGAGGGGAGGCCGGTTGTGAGACCATCGGGCATCAGCCGTTAATAGGCTGCTCCATTAAGCCCCACCCCATTGTAGGACCTGCAAAAATTGGGGAGGTCGATCTTCCCCCCCCTCCCCCAGCAGAAAACTTTTGGTCACCAGGAATTGACTGTTGGAGATTTTTATGCATTATAAGCATACCATTTTTTAACAGATCTTCTCTGTCTTTGTCCATGAATGGCAGATAAACGTGAGTTTTGCACTTTGTAATGAGCGAATAGAAATCATTTCCCAGTCACTCAGAGGAATTGATGGCAGTGTGTCGTTTTTGGGGTGTTGTGGAGTGTCCGGCGCTTCGGTAGACTAACTGGTTTGATCGTGTGGATTTTTTGTCAGCTGTACGGAGAGTTTGCTGATGTGTTTGACCTGTCTGAATGCCAGCTGGCCATCATTCACTGTGCTGGCCACTATGACCAACAATTGGTTCAGTCTCTATGGCAGCAAATCATCGACAAAGGTTTGCGTCTTGAGGAGATTTTCATCCTCAGTCTCTGTCTCCTTTAGATGGGAAATAAAACTGACAGAAAGCCTGACTGAGTGATTGTTTTGCTCTCAGAAATATGTCCAAGCTTGTAACATTGACTGTTACTGCAGGTGTATTTCTTTTGTTTGACATTACCATCAAGTCCACAACACTGCGATTGACTCTTTGAGAATGGGATTAACTCCTCCTTGTCTCAGATTTGACCGGAGATTTTTCAGGGGTTTGTTAGAATCGGAAAGCTTTTTGCAAGAGATTCATAATTTTCCATGTTATTATAAAATGGGAGCATGTCATTCCAAATATGAAAAATATTTATTTTCCAAGAACAGATGTCGATGTTCCTCCGTGTGTTTATCCAAATGTCCCTTGTGTCTTCTGGCCAACATTGACTTGGGTTTCACACAAATTATGTCGCCGTGTTTATTACTTACAGAACTCAACGAGAGCATGGACAAACCTGGTGACAGCAGGATGACTATCCTAGCCAAGAAGCTTCAAGCATTGGGACGTATTTACTCCTCCCTAGAACGCTACTTCCCCCTGGGTGAGAACTCTTCCGTTTTGGTCGATTACTCAGACTCGGACTCATGATTACAAATCTCACTTCATTCTGACCCCACAAAAGGCTGCTCAGTTGTTGTTGTTTTTATTCTGCGGAGGAACTACAAGACAAAAGAATGTTGCTTAGTAAAGGGAGTTTCCAACAGGCCACCACCCCCCCAGAATTGGGGATGGAATGTCCCGATTTTTGAAGAGTTGTGTTTTGGTGGATTTTGGTCCCTCAGCATTTCTGATCCTGTTCCTGGAGAAGCGAAGCTGCGAGCTGAGGTGGCAGAGCGACTGGGTGTTCCGATGTTTCCGGGACATCGGCATACCCCTTCCGAAGCTGCTGAACGTATATGATAGCCTCTTCAAGGCAAAGGTAGGCTTTGCAAATTGTCTGAATGCATGAATTATTCCATGGCCAAGCCATTACAGTCAATTTATATAAATTGAACACATCCAACCGACATTAAATAAACCATAAAGCAAGTCGTTAAAAAACCTAGGAGTGTTTTAAATAATGGATGTTAAACACACTTTTTGTTGAGTGGATAGCATAGGACTAATTATTAATAATTTATATTAGGCTGTTTTCATTTTTAAATGATCAGAAGTGCATTTTTATTAGAATTATGGTGCATTAGCCAAAGAGCTGCTATAAAATTTAAAATAAACGAAGTGCCCATTAAAGATGCCCATTAAAAGAGTGTGTACGAGATTCACTTAATACCTAGACTATCATCAGAGAGAATGAAACATTGGTTGTACTGAGGACAGTGTTGTATACGAGACCTTGATGTCCGAGACCAAGACCAGGACTTCGAGACCAAGACTTTTGCAGGTCGAGACCAAGACCGAGACCGGCGCTTTCGAGACCGAGACCGGCCCTCCCAAGACCGAGACCGGCCCTCCCAAGACCAAGATTTTGACAGGGCAAGACCGACAGTCTCGAGACCTACAACACTGACTGAGGACTTTGGTGCAATAAAATGGCCAATGATGGTTAGGGATAACTATTAACAACAGTACATGACATAAGGCCAAAAAGTGTTCAGACAAAATTTACTAGCTTCTACTGTAAAAAGATGTTGGATTCTCTATTTGGGGCATTCCCTGAGGTTAGGGCACTGTTTGTGATGGTGTCCTTGTTACATGGGTAATTTTTAACACCTGTCATGTAGAGTAGGTCATTTACTCTGTAAAAATAACACACACCTCTGTATTCTGCCTTGCAAGACGTGAAACAATGTCAATTTGGAATCCACATGCACGGAAAATAGCTGTTCTTATTACGGAACCCACGTAACAATGGACACCGTCACAAATTGTACTCCAACCTCATAGAATGACCCATTTCTGCCAGGCCTCGTTGCCTGCCCCTCCCCAATGAGCAAGCATGACTTGCCCTGTTTGCCTTGAAATACCTGCATGCATGACTCTGAGAGAAGCGATTGGCACCAACAATCCACTATAGCTTTGTGTGTAATTGGAGTGAACAATCGACTCAAATAGTCGTGGCTTTTTCAACAGTTACCGGAATATTGAACATGTACGCAGACAGGGGAAGTTAATCCTCTGATTGAATTATGAATGCTTTTGAATGACTGCATATTTTACAGAAAGTGCAATGCTGCTCACTTACTGAGGCATCTAGGGCATATTCCATCGAGCGCAGAAAACACAGGTGCACAAGTTTTAAACGTCTGAGAAAGAGAGTATTTGTGTACGTCCCTGAAGAAGGAAAAGTAACAGGTGACCCAGCAATACAGCCTGGCTACCGATGCATGACAAGCGACAAGGTCACAGTCCTGACCTGTTTGTGTCTTTGTGTATCCTTTTTGTCCACTGACAGGACCCCCACTGGCAGACATCACCTCAGCCATTACATCTACTCATTGCCATCTGTGCTTTGGTGAAAGCCTTTACCGATTCGCCCAGTTGCGTACCGGTTCACGAAAGGTATAGGACGCATGCAGACTTGTTTCTTCTTTTTGGCTGCAATTTCCTAGCCCATCCCTGCATTTGCTTCTAGCTAATATGTCCTGTCAGCACAAAATGAACTGAAAGTCCGAATTTTCAAAAATTGAGATTTTGGTATTTTAAGTTAACTTGAAAACAAGCCTTCCAATGGTATCTAACACTTTGGGTAAAAGTAGGGTGAGGGTGTGACGTTATTCTGGCTGCTTTGGGCCTTTGTTTCCAACACTGTTTCAACATTTCTGACCAGGCATGAAAAATGCTACGTAGATCATCAAAATTAGTCAAACAGTAACGTTTCTAAATATCTAGTCCTGCTAAAAATGTGGAATTAAATAGAAGACAGGTTACTCTTTCCAAATATCACAAAACCCAAGATTTGGCCACCCCCTTAATTTCTGACTTCAAACCGTCATAAGGCGTTATAGCAGAGTGCAAATTTCCGCTCATTTTGTCTTGACAGGTGACAGATGCAAACGGCTTCTTAGGTTTTTTCTCCAGCACAATTGTATCGCATGGTGTTTGACCATTCGACCCACCCATTGTACCAAGGATTATTAGATGAAACTTTCCATTCAGCCAGTGTGAAACACTGTACTACAAAGAATGTGGGAAATGGGCACGTACAGAAAGCCGCGTATTATGAACCAATATTGTTGAGCCCGGCTGTTGCCGCTGATTTTGATCGGTTCATTTTGTTTTCTTGATTTGTAGTTTTTGTTTCGTTCCTTTCAGGCGGCAGTTTGTCAGTGTTTGCCTGGATGCAATCGCTCACTACAAAGTGGAGTTGGAGGCTACGACAGGCATGCCGCAGCCCGTTCAGTCCATCCTGAATAACTTCAAACAACTGCAGGCCAAGTTGGATCGTCTTCAGATTACTAAACCATAAAAAAGAAAATACATGTACATGTGAAAAAAACATCTACAAAGTAAAGACGGAAGTGACTGGGGCCCTTGCAATGACCGTGGTACATTTGCTGTAATGCACCCACGGTTATTCAGACGTTACTCAGGAAAAAAGCTGAATACTGAGAAGACATGTACACTTCCAGACAAGAAACTTTAGGCGAGACCCTGGCCCTAAGTGCACTTAAAGGCGCTCAGTAAACAAGGATTTATAATCTTGGGAATTTTTCTATCATGAATTTTTATGCTACATTGCTGTTGAATTACTGTACCGGATTACACCTAGCGGAGATTGATCTTTGAATTGATCTGGCTGCTTATCTTTGGGTAATAGAAAAGTACCACCTGCGCACTTGTCACCAGTAACACTAGACAATTGGGGCTGTTGTTGAAAGAGCATCTGACCCCATCCCCAGGTGGGTCGTTCCACACTCAAGGGGGGGGGCAAAGTACGACGATGAGGGGCTTGGTAAAGGGAGCATGGCAATGTTATTAGGTTATCCCATCTTCTTGAACATTGCACTCCATTGTGAGGAAAGATACTCCATGCCAAGAGTGTTTTGTAGTGTATGTAGCATGAACCAGAAGTTTACCATGATATGTAGGAATTTAATCTCCAGATACTGTGATTGTCATTCACCTAGTGTGGACATTCCTTTGTTTTTGTGCAGTTCAGAAAACTTGGTGAAACACTAATTTTTCTCGAGCTTGGGAACACGATTTTCAGCTGGATTTTTGTTAAAAATGTGTCGACTGTTCCTCTTCCTTTTACGACAGACGACCCTAACCCCAACATGCTTCTAAACTTCTTTTTCATAGAAGGGGAAACGTCCTGTGGACAGCTTTTGTTCACGAGTTGATGCCAGGTATATAGAGTTAGCTGATTACCTTCGTTCTCTCAAAATAAAATCCACACACTGTCAAAAACTCCACTTGAGTTGAGGCCACCAGGCTTTTATGTCAATTTTTCAAGCATCAACTGAAAGCAGTGTAACAACACTCTTCCATCCATAGCTTCGCTATTTAAAATAACTCCAACGAGAAATTTGAATTTCTTGAAATGAGTGTGAATTGCTGACCGCTGGCTTTCTAGAGAAATGGGTGACATTTTGAAAACTTGTCGGCGTGCCTTTTGGAAGGAAAAAAATTATAAAATGTAAGCACGTTGGCCAATAAATTGAGGATACAAGATGTCAATTCGACATCCAGAATCTGTCACAAGATGGACAAATGTTCACAGTTGGTTGGTTTGTTTTACCTTGTGATTCGTTTCCTCTTTTGTATTATTATTTAGGGGAATACTTGTTTTGGAGACTTTTAGGGGGGGGGAGCCAACGCCTCCGAGAAAAAAAAATAGTGGTGGTTTGAAATGAACTGGATATCTTATAAGTTGGAGTACGTAAAATTGTACATCGGCGAAACGATTTGTGCCCCGCTGCTTGAAAATGAGTTACAAGTCGCCAGAGCCACTTTTGAATAACAGAAATTTGAAAAAATCTTGCAAACGTGGAAAAAAATCCATGGATACCGTCGACATTTCATGAGCATTATGACTGCTTTTCGCAAAGCGGGTGCCATTTTGTCTTATATCTGTCCAAGTCAATGTTACTTTCGCAGACAACTATAACTTGGGGAGAAACAATGTGCCGGTTTCTTTTGATAGTAAAAACACAGAACGACCGACAAAGCATGCGTGTGCTGTCCATCGTGTCAAATCTTGTGCCACTGAGAGTTGGCTCTAGTTTCCAAGAAGTTGCTGAAATGAAATTCCTCCTCACTTTGTTACTTTATGTTCATAACTGAAAATATCTCAACAACACAATTTGAGCCTCAAATGAAATTCGCAGTGAAAGTAGGAAATACTGTAAGCTTTAATTTGATACCCAAACAATATTTTTCTGACAATTACTTTGAAGGAAGTAAATGCGACTTTTGGGTTGCGGTTTTTTTCCGTGGGTGGGACATCCTGATTTATATTAAATATAAAGTGTGCAGCAGCATTACAGAATTACACCACCATTAAAGGTTTAAAACTACACATATTACTAATCATACTGTCCGTGGAAACATTGGTAGAGCGAACTCTGAACTGAAATTCAGGAAACCAAGCCTCACAAAGAACAGAACGGTCGGATGTAAACAACCACATGAAAAAAAAATTCCGCAAACGAACGTCGTACGGTCGGTGGTGGTTGGTCATTACAGCAACGAATTACATACTGTCGAACCTTTACAAGCCAAAATAGGATCCTACTGTTCATCAAGCAATAATGAGCTTGAAATGTAAAATACGGATGAACATAGAAGAAATCGTCGGTATAAAAACAGTTTTCCCAAAAGTTGTGATCCCTTATTCAGCCCATGTACTGAATAGTAACTGTGTAGTTACATGTACATATGTATGACTTAGTCTATGTTGTAACATTTGAGTACGGCTACCCGTTTAAAGAATTATAATGAAAT